GACTGAACAAAGTTCGAATCCAGTAGTTTTCATGGAGGCTTTAAGAGAGAGGGCAATTTCAGCTTCTGAGGAACCACAGAAGCCATTAAATCAGAAAGGGAAATGATAAGGCAAGATCTACTGTGACTTCTGTTGTCATTCAGCCTTCAACTTTGATTTCATTGGATGACATGTCTCTTTCTGAATCCATCACTATGGTTTCTGTTTTCCTTCAGTTTTGAGTATATAGACTACTAAACCTTTGACAATGGAGGAGGCAGAGAGTCAGGCATCATTTCAGACACGAGTGCCAAGAACTCAATATCAGGAGTGCCAGAGATCTTCTGCTGAATCAGTCAGCATTGACTCATACTCTAAGAAAAAGAATCATAGTAAATTCCTTCTAAATGTGCCTTGTTCCTGTTGACACGGAGCTGAAACTTGTGTTTAGTCTGGGCATAGTAATACACTGAATTTGCTTGTTTTGAAAGGTCAATGTGGGATCAGTGAAAAAGATTCTGGCCTCACTTTGTTGATATTGCTGCACTTTAAGATTTAGTGTGTATGTAAAGAATCATACTGGGAGGATTATAATATATTTCACCAGGTTTCATCTTGGTGTAATGGTTCTCTGCACTACTATTCTCAGAGATATGATTGGCTGTCTCCTCAATCAACAAGGTGAGCTTGAAGGTCAAGAGGCAGCTAGTGTGCCGTCTCCTCCGGTGAAAGAGAACATCAAAGAGGAGGGAGAAAAGGGGGACAGTTTGGAGAGAGCTGCCAAACAAGAGAATGGGTGCATGACATGCGGTTTCGTCGTAATGCGGGGCAATCGTAATGTGAGGCACCACTGTACCTATGTACCTTTGCTGGGAATGATTACTTCAGTGCTGAAACAATCTTAATCCACTGATATCTACAGTGGCAGTTTCTTTTATATTGTTGGAGTTTTTGCAGCCTCATATGCTGCCTTTAGCAGGTTTGACTGGGAGTAGGGTTGCCAGATACATTGGTACCAAAAGGAGGACATAGAAAGACAAAAAGGAGGACAAAGGAGGACATAGAAAGACAAAAAGGAGGACAAAGGAGGACATATTGAATGTTTCATTTGAATCCACATTAAACCCGCAATCAATACAATTTTATTACAATTCCTGCCAATAAACGTCTCTTAGTGAACTGTCCAAGAAACAGTTATGTTAAAAAATAAAAATAAATTCAATGGAGGCTTTTTTCAAAATACCAAAGAATATTATTTAAACAGCTAATTGTACAACTACTACCATGAAATACTTGCTGTTCTCAGCAGAGCTAAATGCAATGGAGATTAAATTTTGCAATGTTCCTTTTTCCATGGTTTTATGAAAAAGTCAAGTCTCTTTGTGTGTGTGTGTGTGTGTATGTCTCTCCCTCTCCCTCTCCCTCCATCTGACACACAAACCCTTCCTCAATGTTCAAACAATCAGTTGCTTCAGTTCACTATGTCCATTTCCTCTCATGTCCATTTCTACCCATCCCTCCCTCGCACCTTTGAGCCGTCTCTCCCTTGCAGTCACAACCTTTTTTTCATGATTTTATAAAACTAAGTCTCTTTCTCACTCACATACATCCTCCCTCCCTCCCTAAATTTTCCCCAATCTTACTTTTAAACAAGCCTCTGTCAAGCTCTCTCGCACCTTTCTTCCCTCCTTGATTGAAGTTTCCCTCGTGCTCTCAGTCACCTCCCCCGGAAGCAGTCACTGATTGCCCCGGCTCTGTTGCACAGCGGGGGACCAATTAAACTGGCTTATCTCCGATCAGAACCATCAGAACGGAGGATTTACAAGCAGCTGCCGGGAGGATTTACAAATGCCTTACAACCAAGGAGGGAGGGAGAGGTGATTTACATTTTCAGGTAGAAATGCCGGACATTTTAAAGCTTTTTAGCTTTGCCTGCCGGACGCAGGATTTTCGCTTAAAAAGCAGGACATGTCCTCCCTTTTCCGGACGTCTGGCAACCCTAACTGGGAGGGACTTTTCTGGTCTGGGGTGACTGTCAATCTATCCAGGACTAACTGATCATTCTTTCCCTGCCTTTGAATTCAGAGGCCTGCTTCTCTGCTTTGGAGTGCTTTTCCACTCTTTAGTCTGTTGAGGTCTGTTGTTGAAACCAGTCATGTTTTGTAGTTTGCTGTTTTATCTGCTCAATTGTAAATAATGAAACCTTTTATTCTTTTACTACTAATATCTCAGAGTGAGTTATTCAGACTGTAATTGCCAGTTAATGAGAAAATGGGTGGATTCCTTCTGTTGCAGAGCTAGAGGAATTTACCTAGAAACTCAAAAGTCACTCTTCATACATAAGAAATTATATCCTTATCAGTCAACATATAAATATTTGTCTTCATCATCAACATTAACTGGAGTTAAATGATATTACCCATGAATTGCTAGTGATTATGTGACAGGTTGAGTTATGGTGTCTACAAAAGTACCTTCTAGTTCCAAACAGAACTCCTACCAACATGAAGACTTATCATCTTTCTACAGGTCATTAATGGACACAAAATTTTCAAGGTTTCTTAGCACCATTCTTCAATAGAAGGCACATAATCACCACCAGTCCATGGGTATCACCTACAGTAGGGCAGTTTCAAACAACCACACCATGAAAGATTCTTCAAAACAAGATTTTCAACCTTCAAAAACAAAAAATTAAACAAAACAAAATCCCTAGAGAATACTCACCCTCAAGAGAAGTATATGGGGTATTACTTTTGGTGCTTTGTGATACTAAAGAAAGACATTTCCATCTCCTACTGGACTAGACATGTGAACAATTACATCAAAATGGAAAAAAATGACAACATTGACTATGGTTCTTCCACTAGTGAAGTGACTAGATTAAGTTGCAGTTATTAACCTGAAGGATGCTTGCTTTCAAATCAACATAAGGCCATGTCATTGTTGGTTCCTTCGATTTACACTTTGTCAGAAGTTATTTCAATTCAAATAATTTCTTTCAGTTTTACAACTATATCAAGAGTATTTACTAAGCATATGGAATTAGTAGCAACCCACTTGAGGTATTAGGACTAACAGTTTTTACATACATCAATGATTGATTGTTGGTAGCTGATTTCTGGTGAATACTTGTGAAAACTCTTTGATATAATGTGTAGCTTTTTGCATCAATTCTCAATGTGATATTCTTGTCAGTGGAGAGAACATAAGCTTGTTTTCCTGGCCTCCTAGGTAGAAGGTTAACTAGCTGACCAGTCATGTATATTTGAGATCACAAAGAAGGGCAGACTGCTTATTGATAAGTGTCATTTTTCAAGTGGTTATCTGTGAACTTACAGAACACACTCTTCCCCTCTCAGTCTGTCCTATTACTCTTTCTCTACTGTTGGTGGACTGGAACAGAAGGAAAAATAATTGGGGTACCCTGTCATGTTCAACATGATGGGGCAGGGGTCTTGCCAAAAGCTACAGTACCTTTGGTAACTCAGGTGTTCTTGGACTGCAACTCCCTGAAACCCTGGCTAGCACAACTGGTGATGAAGGCTTCTGAGAATTGCAGTATAAGAACATTTGGGTTACCCAAGGCTGGGAACCACTGTTCTAGAAGATTCTGACCAACATTCTATGCAGTGTCAAAACCTACTTGTATGAGTTGACAGATGATCACTCAAAGAACTACAGCTACACGTAAGCATCAGCTTATTCTTTTTAGCATGCATGAGACCAAATGTTTTCCTCTCACAAGTTTCAGTGTCAAATGCAGAGTATCTGTATTTTTATAATGTTCTTAAATTATGCTTGGAAGTATTGATTCAATTTTAATCAGGCTTTAAGTTGAGCATCACAGATTTTTGCTAAGCTTTCTGAAAACAAAAAGGTATACCTAATGGCTGGTTATTTTATTTACTTATTTATTTTTAAAATGCTATCTGTCACAAAGAAATGGTGCACTAAGGAAGTTTGCCTGAGCATTCTGTTCTGTCCATGTCCAACCAAGGGAAAATGTATTTTGCTCAAAACAGTGGATCCAAAATAATTCCCTGTTTTGTTTTACTAAGCATCCTCAGGCAGTGTCTTTCTTTCCTACTGTCCCTTACAAGCCTTCTTGCATTTAATGATCCTCAAGAGAAGTAATTTTTTCTGATGCACTGCTTTCAGAAGCACATTTGGGAGGGCTTTCTTAGTGACTGCTTCTAGGGATTGAAAACACCTGCCATGAGCGATTAGATTATTTCCATCTGTTTTACCCTTTCATTGGCAGACATATATATATTTGTTTATAGAAGCTTTTGGCATCCAAGAGCAATGTCCTATTAAGTAGGTCTTAATCTAGGTGATACTGTGTTTTCATTTCTATTTTTATTAGATGAGTTTTAGCGTTTCAAATATAACTTTTGTTCCACCTTTTATTGTTAGCTTCCTTGAGCACCATTTTAGTAGAAATATTAGTTGTAAATTTATTAAGTAGATAAATAATTCCTTACAATTCTGTATCTAGATTGCTACAAAATGGCTGTCCTGAGAAAGTAATTGTAAATGCCCACATATCCTTAGTGGCTCATTTGCCATTCAAGATAAACCCCCATTAACTTTAGGGGGGAAGTGATCTTGTAGACCAGTGATCCCCAACCTTTTCTTAACTGCTGATCAGTTGGGGGTGGGGTACATGCGTGGAGGGACACCCCCCACACTCAGGGGCAGGGCATGCTCATGGATGGGTGGGGCACTCACGCATATGGGTGGAAGGGTGGGGCGTGCTCGTGTGCATGCACGGATGGGTGGGGCATGCTTGCAGATGGGCAGAGCACTCTGTTCGGCCCGGTCCTGCCATGGCCACTGGGCCGTGGACCGGGGGTTGAGGACCCATGTTGTAGACAACCAACTGATGTATATTAGCCTTTCAGATACAATTTATTTAGTCTTTTGGTAAAATGTTCTTCTAACAGTCATGTTGCCAGACCAGAGAGCTTTTCTGGAATCCATTATTACATAATATTTTGTTTTATTATTATTTTTAGGCAACCTTGGACGTGTAGACCATATTACTGAATTTGAATATGACCTGTTCATCAGGCCTGACACCTGTAATCCACGTTTTCGGGTATGGTTCAACTTCACAGTTGAAAATGTGAAGGAATCCCAGGTAAGTGCCATTTGAATGGAAATTGAAAAATTAAAACATATATACTGAAAGCCAAGATATCTAATTGTTCTGTATGCGACATAGGAAATGTCTGTACTATAATACTATAGTTTTAAAAGATTGTGTATGCTAATTTCAAAACAGCCTTGTCCTCCAAATGGTAAAATATTCTGCTTGTCATTTCTGGAATCATATAAGATACTTAAGCAAAAATATCCTAAAAGTCTCAAGCTATGGCTGCTGTTATCTTACTCCTAGTTTCTTAGGCCAGAACAGTTTATCATCCACCTTGGGAGATTTGGTTATATTTTTTGATTCATTTTCTGCTGTTAAGGTGTCTATTTGTAAGTTGCTACCCAAAAGGAAATATATTCTCAAGTTGGCCACTCTAACCTGTATTGTTCTTTAAAAGATTTAGGATGTTTTTGACCATTGATGCTTCATCCTTACCTTCTTTTATTTGTGTTCATTAAACCTTCCTTTCTGACTTCTTACCGTATTTTTGCTCCATAAGATACAGTTTCCCCCCCCAAAAAAGGGGGGGGAATATGTGCATTTTATGGAGCAAATACTATAAAAAAGGGTTCAGCCACCACCACCCAGAAGCCTCCCACTGCCATGCTAGGAGGCCTCTGAACCGGCACCAGAGGCTGCGCAGCCACATTGGACCTCACCACTCTGCCATCTGTGCTGCTGGCTTTCCAGGATCTGCCTCCTGGAGCCCACCTGGAAAACCAGCAGGGCCAACAGGCCTATGGCAGCAAATTTAAATGGCAGAGGGCAGTGAAAACAGGCAAGGACCAAAGGGGAAAGAGTGATTTTAGAAAGACCAGGGGAAACCACAAATGCAGTCCCCCACTACCACAAATTATGCAGTTGATTTTCCCACATTTGGGGAAATCACAGGGATCAGCACACCCAAAGTGCAATGGATGAGCCTCATCCTAGGAAAACCACTTTCATGATCATGGTATCTCCACTGCCAGGTATGAGTTGGAGTGGCCCCAGCACCTCCTGCCCCCTTCTGTGTCCTACCCCCCCCAAGGCATGGTGACTCCCCGGCTGCACCTCCTGCTCAGAACAGGGCTACACAGCCCCAGTCCCACCAGAGGCCAAGAGAGCTGCTCAGTGTTTTGGCCCAGTGGGATCCCCATCAGGGGCTGGGTGTTCCTCCCACAATCCTCCAGTGCACAGATATTAGCATACCTAATGTGCGGGAAGCCAGGGAAAGTGGGAAGTTCAAACTTTCAGTTAGTGAAGAGGCTGCTTGTCTGCTTCCTTGCTAGTCCAAGCGGTTAGAGAGCTGGGAGAGAGACCCGGGACTGCCTGGGACTGCCTGGTATTGTCATTTTAAAATGTAAAATTTAGTTTAAAAGCTGCTTGTTTGGGATTAAACCCTCCTTGGGTGAAAAGGTGCTCCGTTTGAGTTGAAACCTGCTTGTGTAGAAACGTGCATACTTGCTTAAAAAGCAGCTAATTTTGCTTTAAAAGCTGCCTGGGAAGCCTTACAGACCAGCATCGATCAGCTGTTAGGCAGGGAGAGGGAGGGGGAAGGAGTGGAGAAGAGCACAAAATGGCTGCCAGCTGCCTGCTGGGTACTGGCTTTTAGCTGTTTGGTGCTCTTTTTCAGCTGCTCGGGGGGGCGGCTACCAAGGCACTGTGAGGTGCCGGGCTCAGTCTACAGTACCTGGTAAGTGACTTGTAATTTTTTTCAAGTTTCTGACCTTTTTTCCCCATAGGAACGCATTAATTAATTTTCAATGCATTTCTATGGGAAATTTGGATTCGACTTGCAAACTTTTCAACTAGTTCTGGGCATCTAATAGAGAATGTATTTCCGAAAGGGTGTTGCAGCAAGGAAACTAACTGTGCTTTATGAGCCAGAACACAAACTTGGCTGCTGATCACAAATTAACCCTGCATACATGGGAAAGCTAAATTCAGTCTTAATTTTAGTTGTTTCCAAGTCTTTATGGTTGTGGTATCTCTTTGATGTATCTAAATCAGAACAGGGCTAGGAAGTCTCAGAGACAGGGCATAGTTATTTAGTTAGTGTTTTTGGAAGAGAGTTGCTACATTTGCTGATACGGTAGTTTGAAAATTAAGAACGTCAAAATTCTTAGTGACTTTTAACTGGATTGCAGTACCTGCTTCCTGATTTCAGCTACTATAGTTTGTATTCAATTTTTTTTGACTTGCCAAGAACATTGTTCCTGGCTTTGTGTTGCCTAACCTGTTGTGCCTTGCGTGCTATAAACGTTCGATTATGTCAGAAAACTGAGATTTGGTCTTATGCTGAGCATGTGCTACTGCTGGTGAATGGGATTTGGTTAAGCTTTGTGTTGCTGTTCTTTTGCATAACCTAAAGTAAATAAGGAAAACCAGCTGTTAAATAGTTTAATTCCACTATTTATCCTCCACACAACTAAAAGGGACCTCTCAATGCAGTGCCAAATCAGACAAACCATTTCTAACTTAATATAGGCTTGAGCTGTAGCTGGGCAGAGTTGCACAACAATCTCATCTGTCATTGAGACATTTCTATAAGCATGGGGAGGAGGTGGATGAAAGGATATGTAAAATATAGGTAATGTGGTATAGGTCTTATCACTGTCTGATAATGGTCTATATGTACTTGACTTACATTTATGGCACACAAATTTATGATACCTAAACTAGAGTACACAAATCTTTTAAGTCTCTCCATTTGTTAGTGAAACTGGTAATGGTTCTTAATGCCACTGTTGACTGCTGTTCACTTTACATGGTTCAAGTTTTATTCTTTCATAGTTTATTAAATATTTTATTGCATTATTTGGTTCAGAATATTTTTTCCTGGAGCGAAAAATACAGTATTTGTTTTTTGCCACTAGTAATATTTTGTGTTCTGCCTCATTTTCCTTTACACCTTAGTAAAAGAGTGCCATTGTTCTTTGTACAAACATTTGAGTAACATTAAATATGGGATTGTAAATAGCATATAAATGGATGCACTTTCATACATTTTCTGTAGTTTCTTCTTTAGTATTTTACCTTTAATTAAGAAATTATAAGAAATTTCAGTGGGCAAAAACATGACAATTCCCAGTCATCCAGATGGTTGTATGTGATATTACCCTTGCACAAAGTCTTCAATACTTTTTTTTATTTGAAGGGAATAAAAGCATGGATTTCACATGGGTCCTATGAAAGTTTTTGCATGTTTAGTTAGTATAAACATGAATAGATGATAATGGAAGCTGAGGACATATAGGAGAAGAAATCTCTCTTTCACTTGTGCAAGACCTATTAATTGCAATATAGACAAGAAATAACAACATTCTCTGTTACATTTAGTTCCCATGGGCCTACAAATTGTTAGAAGAAATACAGGATAAAGGACTTCATTGCAGAGTATGTGAAGTGTGATGTGGTTAGGATATCCTGTAACAATGGGACAGATCACAAAAAGGAGTTAGTGTGAAATACTTTTTTTTGCTTATTTCTTATGCAGGTTCTTTTGATGTAAAAATTGTATTATATCCATCCTATCATACTGTGTTTTAGCAATATTCACGTGAATTATAAAAATTGATTGGTACCATTGATATTGTATCATGCCATGGATTTTAAGAAATGCTTCCTGAACTAGTTAAATTGGGATATCATGGTTAGAATCCACTTTTGTCTTGTGCTTCACCAAAACAGAAAACTCGTCTAATGGTGGGGAGAAAAGATTACTTTTTTTGGTGAGGTATTGTAAATGTGTTACCGAAGTACAAGTTTTATGATATCGTATAGAATATGCACCTTGAGTTAATCTGGCTTTACCTTAGAACTCGTTCCATTTGTCTTGAGAGGTTATAGACTATGTTTTATAGAATAGATCAAAACACAAATGTGTGTGTTGTATATGTTTTGCAAAACATTCAAAATAATTTATATCATCTGGTAAGGGATTGCAATTGAGATTTTGTGTAAACTTTAATGATGAATTTTCCCATTTTCACATAGATGATACTTCAATTTAATTTTATGGCAATTTTCTTGATATGCAAACACAGTGTGTAAATTCTAGTTGCAGTGCAGTCCACGATTTTCTTTCAACTTACTGTGGATTTGGTTTTTAAAAACTAATATACATAACTATAATAGTCTCCTTGTATTTTATTGTACTAGTATGCAAACTGTGTACTACATTTTTTGAAAATCACCATGTATTCCCTTAATTTCCCCATAATACAAAAATCAGTTTTGTTAATGGCATGATTACTTAGTTTAAAAACTCCTTCATGATACCCACAGTTGTATTCCTATTTTATTTCATGACTGTCCTATCAGTTCTATAACAAAAAAAAACACAAAAAACCAAAAAACACCAGAAGGCAAAAAAAAAAAAGAATGTTATCCAAATTTCTGTTTTGTAAATGATCAGTCTTCTCCTATTTTGTACTTTTGTCAATAATGACCAAATTATACAGCCACAAGATGAATGAGAATCTGCCTCATTGAGCAATGAGATCTTGTGGAGAGATACCGTATATATCCAGAGTTCACAGGATATTTGTTTCCTTGGTTGTGTACAAGAAAAAGAATGGATTCACTATTAACTATGACTTCTGAGGCCTGTTGTTATAATGTGTCTTCCTGTAATCTTCATTTTTCATCTCTCAAATTTCCGTTAAAATGACTCTTACATGAATGTAATAAAATCTTAACCATATCTTGAGCCAGGCACCAACAGGCAATATAACCTGGGTGTATTAAATAAATGCTACACATTGTTGTAACAAATGTATAGTGTGGTGTACTTTACTTTTATCAAATTGTGTCATTTAAGAAAATAAACATTAAAAGTTTCCTTATTAAAGAGATCCTAAAATAGTTTCTAGTGATTTGTTTATTTTGCAATCTTATACTTGTTTACTTACAAGGTAGGGGTGGTATAGACTTGCAGCCTTCCTGTTACAATGTCTTTAATCCATGTCTAGGCAAGTAATACAATTTAATATCTCAGAGGT